GACGACGACAAAGATACAAGATAAATGCAAAGTTAAGCAAAACTAAATAAAAAGGTACAGAACAAAGTTAATAATAGAAAAATGTTTCAACATAGTGGAGTTGAATAGTCTTTTAGTTAAGATACTTGCCTTCTAATCAGAGTTAGTACTTCGGCGCGGAACGTACTATGCAAAGAAATTCTGTAGGCGACCCGAAATTCATGACCCTAGGCAGTGGTCAAATTGGAACCTGTTTAATTTCAAGGTACCAGGCTAATAAATTACGTTCAGGGGCCAACGTTTTGCTAATACTAAAAGTGTACGCAATCATTAGAGAAGAGATACAATTACAAGAGTATAGTTCAGTATATAGCTGTATAAATTTCGTCACCATTGATGTTTTAGCACTTTCTAGCATTGAACATATTTTTAATTTACTTGTCGAAAACCTATTTGATCTGTAGTAGTTTAGTTTACAATTTGCTTCACGGTTATTTCAATATGGCAGCAGCAATGAAAAAAGTAAACGCAGCAAACAACCGTTCTGCTCCGTATGATACAGACATACGAAGCTACACCGGTGCATCTTTGAAGGGCGAGCTCACCAAACGAAGAGTCATTTCCGTCGACGGCAAAAAAGGCAACATTGCTTAACCTCTTGCCACAGTCAAAAGACAAACTCAAGACAGGGAAACACTACTTGTATCAAATGTTCCCCTCACCAATGAAACCACTTTTTCACGGCGTCTGCTTACGATTCTGGATCACAATCGTCGGATACGTCTGTACTATCGCATTTTATTGCGCTCGTGTATGGTTCTACAAGGTCAAGACGTCATATACAATTTTTACAAAACTTGTAAAAATTTGTAAAATTTTAATCACAAGTATTGAATACTTTTTAAAATTTTAAAACTGGGTGGCTTACTGCGTTGTATTTAGTTCCAAATTAACGTAGGGCCTATGTTGTGAGTTTATTTTTTATTCCGCTGTGTATGGATAGTACTACGAGGTCAATGTCATATACAAGTTTTACAAATACTTGTGTTTATAATTTTAAAACTCGGTAGCTTATTGTGTAGTATTTGGTCCAACATAAACGTATACTGTGAGATTTTTTTATTTATCGCGCTCGTGTATGGTACTACGGGGTCAAGGTCATATACAAGTTTTACAAATACTTGTAATTGTAATTTTAAAACTCGGTGAGACTTTAATGTGCTGCATGTAGTCAGCGTCAGAGTCAGCGTATGTTTTAAGATATATTCTTGTTGCGCAGCATACTACAAGGTCATGGTCATATCAAAGATTTCAAAATAGCTATAAAATTATAATTGTATTCCCAAATCAGTGTATGTTGTGAGATTGCTTTCTTTTGCACGCGTGCATTATACTACGATTGCAAGGTCACGTACACGTTTTACTGATAATATTAAAACAAGAGGTGACGGAACTAGGGGGTGCTACGTTATGGAGAGTAATGTGTGACCGGAAATGGTCTGCAGTCAGTTGGTTGTTACCATGCGCCAGTGATGTTGGAGTACAGGAAGATGGAAACTATTTAGGCCTATGTAATGCATGAATAAATTTCGGGGTTTTGTCGGGTAGTGAAATGATTATTGTACATTTTAAATGCTCCCTCCATGCATGCATTAGTGTAAGCTAAATTACGGTGATTAATTAGCGACAATTATTTCGAAGTTCCCTCCTTCAAAGAGGGGATGCAAATTTTTTGTGGGAAGGAATACACACAACACAACACAACACAACACAACAAAGGAATACACACAACTGGTTAGCTAACAATATGCAAATGTTACATGAACACCTGGGAAGGAAGGTGCAATCACGTTCTGTTGCCTAGCAAACGTCTGAACTGTAGCGTAGTGGGTGAAGGGGAGGGGGGTGTTAGCCTACTGATGTACTGTGCAGCGGAGGACGATGATGAGGCATAATAAGACTAGGCCTAGGTTTAGGCCTAAGTAGACAGTGCAATTATATGTGATAGAAAGTACACTTTCAAAAGAAATAAATTAAAATAAGAAAATAAAAAAATTAAGAATAATTCAGTTGCAGACGTACCTTGTTTAAGTATTATACAATGCTAACAATGCGGCTCTTGTAGCCCTATGGGCCATCAGCTGTAATCTGTATCGTTCAGCTGTGTCCCAGCAACAGATGGACCAGCTGATTTTTGTGTAAATCGGTAGAGCATATATTAATTAAGGCTGAGCAAAAGTTTCTCAAACAGCTTCTAATCCAAAGGTATATTATTTTTTAACGAACTATTTTGGAGTTTGTCGCGATGCGTGAATAGTCGCCATTGCATTGCATTGATCATGTGACTTGATTTCACAAATCCCAAAACAAATTAAGCTACCATTGAGGGCGCAATATGACAACAACAAAGATGGCGACCGACAGGCAGTCGCACGATCCACCACCTGGAGGTGGTAAAAAATCTGTAAACAAAGGGGTAAATAATCCA